AGATCGCGTACATTATGCTTGGATATCCCATCGAGGTGATTTGTACGGCCTCAGTCACATTTTGTGCGTATTATCATCCTTTTGAGGACCAGCGTTAAAAGATAGGTGGTGTCGCGTCGTCGCTTTCCCACGAGACACAGCGCCGCCATTATCTGTGCAAGCATGTACGACGTCTGCCTGCCTTCCCACGAGGCGCGATAGCGCCATCACAGTGCCTGAGTGAGGTTTGACGTCGCTCAGTGAGAAGCAAAATGACTTTCATGTTCCTCCAAGGGATATATTACTGATCTGATAAGGTTCCATGTCTGAATTCTCAAACACAGTGTTTCATGACGTTCTCAATCCGTCTGCACAGTCCCTCAGCGTGGTGGTGATCTTATAAATTTAGATTATCTGACTAACTTTCCTTGTCCGACTACAAGGAAGGTTCATGTCATTGTCTTAGTTCTAGCTTGGATTCTAAATGGAAAACAGGGGCCTGGGTGACCGTTGTCTTGCGTAAAACTAGAAGGTGGGCCACGGTGTAGTGCAAATCTCTCTATAGTATAATAGCTTTGGGAGTTACTTCATTCATAGGTATTTCATAGAATAGGTCGTTGCAAATGATGTCATATTGCTTGAGACTTTAACCTCGTGTCATCGTAAACTTTGTTTTATTTGTTTGCCAGTAAGATCTAAGGAGGTTTGCGTAAGCATCAAGTGGGGAACGCCAGAAGTTTTGTTCTAAAACGACCCACCTGGAGGACTTTTGATTGGTGTTTTTGTGAACGTTGCCGGATGTTGATTTCTTCATTTTTTTTTACTAAGTTACAGTGGAGTTACAGTCGTCTTTTGTTCTCATAATTTAGGCATACGAGGTACTTTCTGATGAAAAGAAGCGGCAGATATATGACCAAGGTGGAGAGGAAGCGCTCCAAGGCGGAGGAGCTGGTGGAGCTGAGTTCCACAATCCATTTGATGTGTTCGACATGTTCTTCGGTGGAGGTACGTGACACTCATTTGCGTTTTCAAAGAATCGTGACTAACTGTATATCCAATAATGTTGAGTGGTTTACAAAGCTTTGGACTTCGAGCTAGTGTTGAACCCTCGTCTCACCTTATAGGCGAAAACGTGTTAACCATTGCACTTTATTGAACTAAAATGTGTCAGATCTTTGTTTTGCAGTGAGTGACACAGCTTCATAATATAGGACATCGTACATGCCATGCTTTTCTTACGTATTGATTGATGTTTTATTTAGCGGTAGTAGTAATATATACCATCGATAATGATTGGTAGTGGTCGTATGTGACAGAAGTCGTGACTGTAAAGTGGTGGAGGTCTGAGTTGTCTAACTCCTAGAGTAAAAGTATTTGTGCACAAGAACCAGACTGAATTTCAGACTTAGCTCTTCTAAGACCAAGGAACTAATTCTTTGTGTTTATAATCCCCAGCGTGCCATTTTTAGACCAGCAGGCTGCTGTTAGACCCCATTGTTAGACTTATCACACTGGAGTTATAGACACAGAAGATGGGGTCCATGGTCCCGAAAGAGTTGATATTCGCCTAGGTTTCACCTTTACTTCTTAGAATTTATGTATCTCCTGATTATCACGTACTTAGAGCACTTATTGAAAAGGTTGTTGTTGACCACTACAAGTTTTCATAGCGACTGTATGATTTAGGAAAGCGTCAGCAGGGTCGTGGAGTGCGACCAACTGTCCATCAAATGAAGGTCTCCCTTGAACAGCTGTATAATGGTTTTTCGAAAAAGTTAAAGGTACACTGTAGTTGCATCATTTTAAAAAACCTCTATGAAATTGGAGTAGTGTGATTTGTCCAATTTGGACAACATTATTTCGACTTCGGTAATCTAGAAATGATCTTTTAAAAGCAGCGAATTTCCAGGTTACTAGAACGGTCATTTGTACTGACTGTAATGGACTTGGTGGACCACCTGGTTCTGTGATGAAGTGTCCTGACTGTAAAGGACGTGGTATGATAGTCAAGTAGGTTTAAGCGTTTACATTGGTCAATCTTGTAGTTTTGATTATGCTCTCTAGGGTTATGCAATTAGCGCCTGGAATGATTCAACAAGTCCAGTCTCCTTGTTCGGCTTGTAAGGGAAATGGTGAAATGATACCACCAAAGGATCGTTGCAAAGGTTGCCAAGGCCAGAAGAAGGTTTGGAGACGTTTTAGCTATTTTTACTTCACTTCTTCTTGATATGCCTAGATTTCGAGATAAAGGTCATGTAGGAGGAACGCATTTGTGACGTCATTTATAAGTTTAGTACCTCTATAATTTTTCATGCCATAATTTAGTTATAATCATTTCTGAAGCTTAATAATTGAAAGCAAGATCTGCTGCTTTTTCTTGAATTCAAAATCATCGTCGGCATTTTAATTACTGAATGGTAGGTCTAGACAAATTTTTTTACTTAGGGTCGTGCACTTTTCCAATGAAAGGTAATGAAGGCTCCAAATTGATAGATTTACAAAATGATATCCGGTGAAGTAATCATATACCCAGAGTGTGTTAAAAGTAGAGTTGTTTTGCGAGAAATTGGTTAACGCGATAGTAAAGCAGGAGCTACAGTAGTGTGGTAGGTTAGCACGCATCCGCGGGAAGTTTGATGCGAGTTCAGTTCCCGCGCGCATTTTGAAGTAGTTGTCGAGGAGTTTTGATTTTGAAAAGTAATTAAGAACGATGTGATTTAATGATCGTAAGACAATTGTGTTTTGTAGGCTCCTTTTCTAAACTTTTCATTGGTGTAGTTTGTATATTTCAGCGTAAGGTTGAAGAAATTTTGGAAGTTCATGTTGAGAAAGGTATGAAAGACGGTGATAAAATTATGTTCGAAGGACGAGGAGATGAAGATCACAACGTGCCACCCGGTGATATTGTGATCATTCTCGATGAGAAGGTTCGTATTATTTCGTTGTATTCACAAAGATAAGAAGTTTTTGTACAGGAATAGTAGGGAAGTAAGAGATGTTTCCAGGAACACAGCAACTTCTTTAGGAAAGACGATAATCTGGTGATGAATATTGATATAGAGGCTAGTGTTTTCCCTCTAAATACATACATGCGAGGCATTAACATCTTACATATCGTTTGTATTTTCAGTTAGTTGAGTCCTTATGTGGTTTTCTCTCGAGTTATCAAGACTTTAGATGACAGGACCTTGTTCTTCAATGTGTTACCAGGTATATTGTGTCTCAGTCATTTTCAGTTCACCTCTATCGAAGAGTATGTGGAATATACTTTCCTTGCAGGTGAAGTAATTAAGCATGCTGATATGCGAGTTATCTATGGAGAGGGATGCCACATCGAAGGAATCCTCAAGAAAAGGTATCTAGAATGACTTATCCAAGTCTTCTCTAAATCATCAAGATCGATCTACTGGCTGAGCAGGTCCACGACGTTCAAAATATGCTGCATAGAATGACCATTTTTGTGTCCTCCTCCAGTTACACTCTATACAATACAGGAAAAGTGGCGTCTTTGCACTTGCGCTACTTTATACACGAGTTCAGCAATGTGTTCCATGTTTTCTCCTGCATATTTCTGAATGTTTTTGCTATTTACCTCATTTTTTGAGCGCGTGTGGCGTAGTGAGAGGTGCTTTGCGATGTCCGCGTGATTCGATCCCCGCTTTCAAGACTCACCAAGCCTACCGTCTTTCCGGAGTCGGTCAATAACTGGTGGTTAACATCTCTGGCAGGATAACAACACTTACTTGGTACATCGCCAGGCTACCATGAGCATCGTATAAAGTCCGGATATGCATTCAATCACCTCTAACGATGTTAGGTGAAGACGAATGCATTGCGCATCCCTCAGGGGTTGATAAACGCCGAGAGTTTTATCCTTCTAAACCTCATTCTTTTTGTGGCACTGCGTTACTCAAAATTATACATTGGGTTCGTTGCTTAGAAATCATCATCAGAGTTTGCGAAATGAGCGAAATCTTGTGATTCCATGTTACTTCATAGAGAGGTAGCTTCATTCAGAACGGTTTTCTGCTAACTATATTTCAATCGAATACGTGTACTTTACTTGTTTGTTTCGTTTAGTTCAGATCGAAGATTCATCACTTAATGTTTAGGGTGACCTAATTCTCCAGTTCCGTGTAACATTCCCAGATAAATTGTCGGTAGAAGCCCGACGAACGCTTGCTGACATCCTTCCTGGTAAAAGTGAGTTGGCAAAAACTGATGCCTTGTTGTAGTTCGTCAGTACACTGTTTTACTTGCAGGCGAATGCATGATTCGTGATGATGACGAAGTGTTCGAGCTGGCGGAGATTGCAGTAAATCGCTACCGCCAAGAAGAAGAGAATCACGCCCATCACGAAGGGGGAGTGCGTTGTCAACACCAATAGATTTTCACTGTAAATTCTTTCATCTGAATAAATCGCAGTGGCGTCCTCGCCAGACTCTTTTCTTTTCGTGTTGCTGGCTTGATTTTGAGGTGAAGAGTAGTTATACCGGTGTGTATTTTGTGCAACATAAGGTCACCCACCTGTTGGCATATGTACTAGTTTTCTCTAAGCAGTCAGCCCTACCATTATGGTTGGGAGTTGAAACGGTGTACGAAGTGGTATGTTGTTGTTATGAGAAGATTTCTGGACTAACCAGCACTTCTCTGCGTCTCGATATTATGCACTTGATTAGTATTTCCTGTCGTTTTGTAATTGCCGAGGGCTTTTCTTTCTTGTTGTTAATGTCCTTCAGTATTCTAAAGTAGTCCCTCAAAAGTCAGAGAAGAGCTGTATTCTCTTTTCCAACTGAACCAGACTCTGTGTATGCGTCCGATCGTTTCAGATCAGGCCTTTTACACGAGTGTTGTTTGCAAGTAATTACTGAGATAGGAAATGTTGTCACTTGTTTGGTACTATATACCATTGGAATGAAGATCTTATGATCTACATGAATTCTTCAGTTTTATTGCATCTTAGCAGTGCTATGATATTCTACTTTTATGTCAAAAAATGCTGAGTGGTATGTAAGACATTCGACCTCAGCCGGGAGTCGAGCCTGCTTCTCACCCATCCTAGGGGCGCGTGCTACCATTGTACCACTGAGGCAGCCGCTCTGCTATTACTTTACCGTCCATTTCAACTATCGTAGCTGTCAGCAACCGGCCTTCAACGGATATCGTTTGGTAGTCACCCAACCATGGGTTATATCGAAGAAAAAGTGGTAGCAAGCGGTTGCCTCGGTGGTGTGATAGTAGCGTGCGCTCTGGTTGAAGTGATACGACGCTGGCTCAGCTCCCGCTGGAGTCGAATGTTTTGTATATTACTCTACATTCTTAGCCGATCTTATACTCCATGTGTGTACATCACGTGTGTATGATGGCTACTGTCAAGTTTTATCAAGGCGAGAATTGATTAGAAATCTGATTACATTGACCAATAGAGGAGGGACGGATGTGAAAGCGAACAAGACCCAGAAATTGCTGACTGGATGAGTGTCGACGATGAATTTTAAGAGGAAAAGACAACTGAGGGCATGACTGAACGAGGAGAAGAGTGAGATCGAGGGCGAGGGCATTCTGATCAGAAGCAGCAGCAATTCGCTGACATTGAAGAAGGCGAGTAGAGATAACAGGACGATGAACTCGACTCGTGAGTCCTCTTCGACCTCTTCGACACACAACGGATACGATGCTAACAGGAATGGCTCCTGTAGAACGGGAGAAGTCATCTACGTGCACCGCAAGAATCCTAGGTGTAGGTCACAAACCTGGTTGAAGAACAGAACGGAGATCAGCACGAGATGAGCCAATAGACACAGGAAGTACCCGGAGATCGTGTCGATCATGGAGGTGACGTCATACCTAGGAAATCCCGAATCCAGCACCCGTTCGAAGTGTCGCCATGGGAACGGCTAGACCCGATGGGAGATAGCGTGCTCTATGGCGAATGTGACGTTAGATGTGCATGACCTAACGGCTACCGTAGCCCACGTGGTTTTTGGGATCGCATTGCCATATGGTGGTTGTGAGTTGGGCCTAATCTTTACCGCTACTCACGAATGCTAGGGCGATTTCGTCCAGGATTTCCGTCTCTAAGAGGGAGTGAAACCTGCGTCTCACTCTCTCCGGAGGCGCAAGCTACCACTGCGCCATTGAGGCCACCCATTCTGCTACTATTCTTTCCTCTATATGTTCATTTAGTTCTAGTTTGATGCATGTTTAAAGCGTCCACGAGATACGTGGGATTTGTGCTTTTGAGCAATTTGTCCTTGTTCTTTTCTTAATGGGGGAGTGGGAAAGAATTGGAGTTCTATTAGTTATCTCGGTTCTTTTCAGTTATGAGGTAATAAATGAATATTGGGCCTCATTCGCTCGACAGCAATTTTTTGCAGGAATGTTAGTGATCATTCGAAGGATTAAAGCTCTGGCTACAGTCTCACGTGGCCGGTTTTTCGAAACACCCTTTCAAAACGCTGTAAGATGCGAGATAAAGTCATGCTTAACACGATCATGGCTTTTTTTTTATTATCTCGCTTATATTTCGCTGGACAAATCTCTTTCATCAGAGTGCTAGTACTCATTCGATAGCACGAGTCTCGAGGAACTCAAAAATGTGCTTTTTTTCGAAAAACTTGCACTTTAGGCGGAAGGGAAGAATTGTTCTTTGTATACCCCGGATGTAGGTTTTTCTTTAGACTATCAGTAATCATCTCATATCGTAAGATTTAAGGATTCCAACGCTGCCCTTTTTTTTCTGGAAAAACCGCTTCACTGATGTTTAGCAGGGAAAATAATATCGATCTTCACATATCCCAATATTCATTTGTCGCCGTTTAACATGTAAGTCTCGTGATTTTTTCACTTAGCTCAGTTGTTTAGCCCTATTCTATATTTCACGAACTATCCTTTGATTTAAAGCTTGTTCACTCACTTCTCTGTTCACCATGTTGTTATGTCATATATTTTTCTCAAAATCGCCCTATCGCTCTAAGCTGTTTTGTCAGGTGTGAAACGTAGTTAGTAAATATAGGAGTCTTTCACCCTGGCCAAGTGGCTCTGAAGAAGTCAAATCGCCGAGACTTCACCTTTGATATGCCAGCACTTCCGCCTTTTTTATGGAAATGGCAGTCCGTAGATATTCTTTAGTTTTCATTCCACATGCTGAGATTCAGTGAAGATCTGTTTTATCGGTTGATGGCGTATGCCTATAAAATTCGACTTATGGGCTTAATAAGACTTATTGTCTCGTCGTCAATAATTTGTTGCTTTCATTTCAATTTGGACATTTTTACGTGTCACTGCAGGCATTCGTAGAGGACATGACAGTCAAGCGAAGGAACCATGGCAGGAACAAGAAGAATCGTGGACGTTGCACGTTCATTCGCTGCACGAATTGTGGACGTTGCTGTCCGAAGGACAAGGCCATTAAGAAGTTCGTCGTGAGGAATATCGTCGAGGCTGCTGCTGTTCGTGATATCGGAGAGGCTTCTGCATATATGCGTAAGTTCTTAAGCTTATCTATTCCCTCTTTTCCTGCCCTCGACCCACTTCTAGCATCGGATAATCTTATAGCATGATGACGTGTTTGAGCCCGTCATGACGTCTGATAAGGGTATTGGTATAGTGCTAGATATGCACCAGTTTCGTCCTTCCGGTCTACTCAGTTCTTCGGTTCAGCCGATCCGTGGGACTTAGGAAATCGGTTGAACCGAGCGAGACTGCTACTGAGTCCACAAGGACGAAGCAGGTGCCTGTCCATCACTGTATAAGTGCCCTTATCAGACTTCATAACAGGTTCAAACACATTACCAAATATTCTCTATGTTATTGTCGATATCGTCGTTAATTCGGTGTGTTCGAATCTTTCGTAGTTCTATAATAGACCACTTGTTTAGTGATCTAATTATGTACACCGATCGTCGCTAATTTAGTCATACTTCAGTAACTTAGTATGTAAGGATGTTAGAAGACTTTCCGAAGTTGGTACGTCATTGGCTTAGGCACGTTTCGAAGGTATCGCCCGCTTTATCGGTGCCATACGCCCCACACTGAGTCAGCAGAGGTGGGGATACGTTAGATGATAGCAGGTGATATTGTGTTGTCACCAAATTTTTCTCCAGTCAATGGATTTTACGGCTGGATATAAATATGTGGACATCCTTCCAACTCACTGTTTTTTGAACCTCGCTAAAACATTCAATTTAAGAGGTTCTCCAAAAAGTTCGCGCCATTTTGGTTTTCTAATACGATTATAGCGGTCAGCTTGCATGATTTTGGTGTCGTTCAATTGTGCATTTTCTTGCAAACATTTTGGTATACAACTTCTCTATACTTGCTTCAAGATAGAGCTCTCGTGGGCTGCTCATGCGCGAATGGATTGAGAAGAAAATGCTAGTGAAGCAGTGCACAAGATCAATGGAGCTTCTGTGGATAGCTTGGTCATGACTGATCCACCAGAGTGTTCTCTCCAGTTTCCCACTTTTCAGCCGTGCTTTTTGCAATCGTATCATCGCCACAAGTTCCATTAATCTTGCGCACCGCTTCACAAGCATTTTTCCCCTGCATGCCATTCGTGCATGAGTAGCTAATTCGCTTGAAAATGCACAATTGAATATAGCAAAACCATGCAATTTCATTGCAAAATCATATTAAAAACCAAAGCGGCCCGAACTTTCTACACAACCTAGTAGTCTGTGAGGATGTTCAAAGCATTGTCGAGGTTGGTACGTCACTGGCTTACGTACGCTTTTGGTTGCTAGCTTGGTACGTGGCCTGCTCCATTTATTTATGTGAATGGTCGCTGTATCATTCGCATGGTTATTGCCATCTACGAACCTGCAGTGATTGGAAAAGGTCACCATGTGTGCTCTCCGCACTATAGATCCATTATTATCAGCACTATATCTAGCACAAAACCTAGCACCACGGTAGAACCAGGTTATAGTGGAGTTATCGTCAGAGAATCATTGGTGAAGTTATTGTCAGGGAATCTTTCGAAATCTGGTTAATTTTGATTGTACTCATCTTTTTTTATGCTGCGATAAATTCAGTTCCATGCAGTCAGCTTGCTGGTCTGCGGAGAAATTGAATGCTGAGCCCAGTTCGTGGGTTCTAACCAAAGGCCACGTGTTTGTTGTAGGGTATCCCCTTACCATTGCACTCACTGCACGTGCCTATTCTCTCTTAGTAACAGCGTTTCTTGTTTACCTCGGGGCTGATGGGATAAGAAGTTGAGCACCAGTTCATTTCAATCTTAAGACTGGTATTTGTGTTTCTGTGAATATCACGAATTGAGACGAGACGGATGGTATAGATATCTCTCGGGATGGTTGATTGGTGCTTCGGTGAATATCAACCTATGCGAAGCTAAAAATGTTTAGAAGATTTTCGTTCTTCGCTGCTTTTTGAGACGCAAAGTGGATCGAGATCTCATCTGACAGATTGCTACAGTATTTACTCGCTCTTTAAGTGGGGTGAGTATCCATGTGTGACTACTGGCCTTTTGCGAAAGCACCAAATGCGGTATAATTTTTTCCAGGTCCCTCTGTGTCGATAAGAACGTATGGTTTTACTTATTTGCTAAAGTCTGCGGTTCAAAATCCTCTTTCGATTCTGCATTAAGTCCGTGTGTCGACATTACTTAGGTGTTGGCTTAGTCGAAGTGTTCTTCTTACCGATATATGTCTAGTGTTGAGGACATTCTGATTTCTTAGTGCTGCTTTTATTTTACGTACAGGCGTATTTTGGTGGTCATACGAATTGCTTAGGTCATTGCGGAAATGTAAATGGAGCACTTCTTCCCTCTTGCGGAGCAGTGCACGTTAAAATGTATGGGTGATGTACGAGAATACCCAATTCTTGAATGCAGATATTTCTAAGGAGTTCATTAGCCATCTTTTTTTCTGTATATTCCGAGAATTAAAGCAGCAGTATTGGCTAGCTCAAGAATCTATGAAATTAGTGCGAATTGATTTGAATTCAGTCCCTTACTTCAGCTTGTTTCTGTTGCTTTCCCAAAAGCTTTTGTCACACCTTTTGTATTCGATCTTGTGAGATACTTTGTTCAATGAGAACGATTCTCATTTTTTTCTATTTTGATAAGAAAAA